CAGGGATCAAAGAGAATGAAACAATGTGATATATGCTTGAGAAGTCACGCGACAAAAGCAGTCTAATGTTTCATCCCTTAACTGTAAACGCAGATAGACCGATTTGCGTCGTAGGAGTGGGAATCATCAGCGCAAGCTCTTCTACTAGCGTTTGCATGATGCAAGTATCACGCACCGCACCTGTCATCGAAATGGGCGAAGTAATAGCTTTGGAGCAGTGCTTGGGTAAAAACCGCGCCAAACTCAAGAAATTATGGTACTAATGTGCATCAAAGTCTTTAATCTTAATGTCATTCTAGTTTTCACGTTTTGATGGTTGCTCTACTTTTCAATGTTTTCGTCTCGCTCCCGAAGTCTATGAAGACATGATGGGCAATCGGCGGCGCGCGAGCCGGATCCGACTCGTGGAGGGGATCAGAATGTGATGCCTAACTAGACGAACCGGGAGTTGTATTCTGTCACGCCTCTGCACTCTCATGAAAAAAAATACGCATGATGTTAACAGATAACAGCCTGCAAAGTGCTTTGAGACTCCGTGTCAGTGATATAAATCCGGATTTCAACAATTATGTATCAAAAGCTCAAGCTCAGAGCTCGCATTAGCCTGCTGTTGCTTATTTTTTAATGCGTTTTTGCGTATATGCAATTACAAAAACGCATATTGGGAAGAGGCTGTCTATGTGTGCTATGTGTCTGTGTGTTCGTACTCTTTGTCACCCACTTCCAACTCGAGAACCAGAAAAGCTAGAAGACTGAAACTTTGGAAGTATTTGCCCGTAGCATGCGCGACCCTCCCCTTTTAATAACATCCCTCGCGGACACCTGAGTGCCACGTACGAATGCTTTAAAAAAATATGCAAATTTTTTGGCAGGAAAGCGGTCTCGGAAACTACACAAGGTAAGGGGCTGAGATTCTGTACTTGTATTCCCTGTGCATGTGTTAGCTAAAGATTTCAAATTCAGCCGCTAGCTATGCGTGGTACTCACGTAAGGGCGTACGGAAGTTTCTGCGGGAAAATTGCAAACTCGGGAACCAAAAAAGCTAGAAAGCTGAAATTTTGGGGGGTTTTAAAGACAGGCCTGGTGGCTAGTCTCAATTCTCTCAGCTGGGAGATCTGCCGGGGAAACAGCGCCGTTAGGGATAAAAAACTATGGGGAACTGTGCAAAAAACGCATCTTCGTATCATCAGTCGATGTAGTGTTCATTTTTGTTTTATTCAGGTTGTGTGGCTTCGGTAAAACGCAGGCTGGTTACTGCTTTACCTGTTGTCTTCTCAATACTCAATTTTGTGATACAGTTCGTCACTCTGCTATATTCACAAGTCACTTATACAAGCTATTATGCGGTCGCTGAATGTGAAGTCCTGGATGCAACAGCCACACTTCCAGCATGGATTCTGCCTTTCCCCAGACCCTACCCGAGAGACCTTATCCAAGTTTGTCTTTTCCCTGTTTTCTCAAATCTTGTCAAAACCAGATAAAAAATAAAAATAATTGTATAAAGTGTCGGCAAGAAGCCATTAATTTTACTAGTGTTTGGAAAATAATGGTATGCAAAGCTAAAAGAAGTCAAAATTCGAAAATTCTGCTTTCTAAAAAATAAGTTCACTTGTAAAAAGTCGATGTTTTAAAGCTGCATTTAATATGAGCATTAGTGAGATGCACCTGCGGGAAAATTAATGGCCACTCGGATTGCTGCCGTAAAAACGGCATCAAACAGGTAACAAGTACCAACTGGAAGTATGCAGCTCAAGGTCGGAAACCTGCCAAAACTATGCCTGGCAGGTGAGAGCATCCCAGTAACATCACTAACATGGGATTGCTACAACCGGCTTACGGGCGATTT